GGGATTTGAACCTGGGCTGTATTACATATTATTACACACACACACACACAAACACACACACACACACAAACACACACACACACACAAACACACTGATAAATAAATATATGTTGTATTTGTGCTGATAAATAAATAAAGGGAGACTAGTATAGATTTATTTCAAGCTATTTAGCTCTCATCAGCTAGCCATACCCTTACTGGGATTTGAACCTGGGCTACATGTAATATAGCTACATGGGATTTGAACATGGGATTTGAACCTGGGCTACATGTAATATAGCCCAGGTTCAAATCCCAGTAAGGGTATGGCTAGCTGATGAGAGCTAAATAGCTTGAAATAAATCTATACTAGTCTCCCTTTATTTATTTATCAGCACAAATACAACATATATGTAGTATGTATATACACAGAGCCACAATTTTATATTTTAAATGGGAAAACCATAGATTATACATCATGTTACAAACTGCCTTTGTAAGAACCACAGGTATCACAAGAGAATCTCTGTGTGACAAAATAACAGGAAGGAAGCTGCTGTTTAGGACCAAATTTCCTTATCCATCATGAAAACTGTTGCAACTGACTTAGATCTTAAAAACAACAAATAGAAATATGAAGTGTATCCATCATAAAAATAGGCTGATCAAGAAAAGAGTGCTAGAGTGGTAGATATGAACTCAAATTATAGAATTGCCACACAATATTATTCTTTTAATATGATTCAATAGCGCACAAATGACTGTATGCCTAATCTGGTTTTGCTGCCTAATATCTCTTGGCAAGAAAAAACATATTTCCAGTAGGCTGGTTTTGTTTTGCTTGTTTGTGTCTGATGGAATGACTAAATCATCTGATTATATAAATGTTTGGAATCTCATATGAAAAAACATTATGATGTAATTCTGTTTGACAAGCATTACATTTTAACACTTTGCAAACAGCATTGTCGTATGAAACAAATTTTAAACTTGATTATTTTATTGTGCAGGCTGGAATTTTTAGTATGTATGGATGTGAAGAAGGGTTTGCAACTGGTGGAAGAGATGGCTGCATTCGACTGTGGGATATTGATTTCAAGCCAATAACTAAAATTGATCTCAGGGAGACTGAGCAAGGATATAAAGGTAATACTATTTTTTTATAAAGATTTTGCTCTTGATTTGTACAAATATTTTATTTGTAAATTTGTTGGTAGAAAATAGGTATGGTAGGAAAATGTTTTTATTCTTTCAGAATTATTTTACTGTGGCCATAAGGAATTAATAGAACCAATGCATGTTTTGGAATCGCTGAAACCATTTCATTTAAGTGTAGTTCACAATACTTGTAGAGATTGGTTAACAGAGGGGCATATCACAGGTCAGTGATAGAAGGGACCTTGACCCTCCTAACTGTGCCCTTAGGCCACAACTTCTTCCTGCCTTGGCACAACTTCTGACTATTTGTTACATAGTACTTCCTGATACTATCATTCAATTTCCTGGGCAAATGCATATACCAAATACATATATACATATAACAATTCCCTTTCCCCAGGAAATTGAATGATAGTATCAGGCTTTAATGCCCGATTTCTTTTTGGTCTCAAAACAGTTTTGCCAGCAAGGATGGAGTTGAGGGGAACCCAAACAATTTTCTTCCTTCCACCACTCTCTTGAATCTTGGGTTTTGCAGTCAATAAGTTCTCCACTGCTTGTCTACTCGAGCATCTGGGATAGGTGAATTGCGTGAATGTGGAATTTTGTTTTTACTTGGTGAATGGCTGAATGAGTGTACTATGCCGGAGTGAATGAGGATTTCAATTTGTCCATTTGCCATAGTATTATGCCAGTTTGTTATTATGTTACAATTACGTTACAAAAGCAGTTTATTTGTTGAATGTTGCTATTGTACCATTGGCTGTAACATGAATGCATATCTGGATATACAAGGTATAGTTCTGGAAATTAATATAAGTATGGGTGTGCCTTCTCAAGTGGAGGAGTACCATTCAGTTTCTAGTGTTCTTGGAATGAAACAATGAACTGTCAATGAGATAATGCAAGAGATAGATTGATAGATATAGATATATAGATACACACACATAAAAATAAGAGGAGAGGGTTATTGCATTGTACCTGGAATTTTCATCAAACTTCTAAGGGAACCAATACTTTTCTTCCAAGAATAAAATAACATCTGTTCTTTCTTGTTATTCCAACAAAGTCTAACCAAACCAAAGCAACAAAAATAAAAAAAAAACCAAGTTAATCTCCCCTGTATTTTCTATCACATAAGGGTGTATTGTCTTCTATTCACATATCTTTCAGAATTTGATTTGGTAAAATCTGACAGCTTGAGACAATTGAAGCATAATTGTGGCCATAGCCCCCATTTTTGCAAAAACTGAGATGTGCCTATAAAGAAACATTATGTTTTAAAGCTTCAAGGGGAACACCGAGCAAGAAATAGGCTACTGGACAATATTGGTACAGCACAGTATATTTGTTGTAACTTACATGTATTTGAGGGAACTTCTAGTAATATGAATTAAGATAAATATCTGAAACATACACTCTCAGCTAATGTTTAAGAGTTGCTGTGCAATTGCACTGTCACAATGAATTAGAAGATTGTAAGAGTTTCTTTCCCATATGTCTTGAGGGCCCTCAATCAAAGCCAGTAAGCATCAATATGGCTGTAGACCCTTCCATTAATGTCCTTCGAGATTTTATCTTATCTTATTATTAAAAGAAGGATTTCTTATTTAAAAAGAACCATAATGGGAAGCTAGTAGAAAGAAGTATGCTAAATGAAGAGCCATTGTTTTATTTATTTTCAATAATATTTTGGATATATTCTTTGATTCTAATATAAAGCAAGACAGTGGATTATTCTGAAATATTGAAGAGGTTTTTTTTAAAAAAAAATATAGATATGACATAAAAAATAGTCTACAGAGATAAGGATAACATCCTCAAGTGCATCCCACCCCAGTTCTTGCCATATCTTCTTTTGCTAACAAATTTAAACTCAGTTTCTGCCTGTTCCTGTGCTCTCCTCTCCAGTCTAAGCTTACCCTTTGTTCCTTCTTCCCAGACCAAGGCACAACCTATCTAAATCGTCATTTAACCATACACTCAGTCCACACACTCAATCCATTGCCCCAAAGTCTTGGACACACTTTCCCAAGTATTCCATAACCTCTAGGGAATGCAGGTTTCTCTGCAGAGAAGGAACACTAGGCCTCACAGTTCACTTACTTTCCAAAATGGATGAGGTCTCAAACCTCAAAAGGTGAAGAAGGCCAAGGAAATACAATCTTCCCATGTTCAAGCAGGACCTCAGTCAGACATATCCATTGACTGTGACAGTGAACAGTGTGAATCTTCTGACAACACTTATGTTTGAGGAACCGTGGGAGTGGGCATTCTGTAGCACAGTAGGAGTCTTGGGATTGTGGGCAATATAGTTAGCAAATAAGACTTGGCTTTATGGATCACCAAAAACTGACATTGCCCTTCCCCAAATCAAGCCTAACCCCATCCTTCTTCTTAATGTAGTAATTCCGTTAAGTGAGTTAAAAGGATTATAGCGGGGTAGGCCCCTTCTAAATATCAAGTATGGGTGTTCTGTGGCTTTGGACAATATTTGCCAGTGGCATGCTGGGTGATAAGACTCTGGTCAGCAATTCCCAATGTTGTAAGAATGGCCAATTAACTCCTTTTACCCCTAAAAGAGGTTCCAGGGGTGTTGAGAATCCCAAAAAACAGGACAAGATCAGGGCCCAGGGTATGGAGTTCCTGGAGATGGTGGATGATGGGTTGGAGCAAGCTTGCTCCCATCACCGATGTTTCATCTCTCGGTGGGGCCTGTACCCTGAACTTAAACCAACCCCAAGCCCTAAGGACAAAACCCCAACAATCCAGATAAAACAGGGGGTGGAACAAAGGGAGAATGGGCCTCTGCGACAATTGAGGGATTCTAACTATATGTTGAGAATACTGGAACTAGGCCAGAGTCTAAT